GTACTCTTTTGCTTATCTTCTTTTAAACATGTAATTATTGTATATTGTAACTGCACATTAATATCGTCTATTGTACATAGTTTTATTTTAACAAAATAAATGTATTACTAAGTATTTTGACAGCACCATTTTGAGAAGGTGCGGTGCTCTGTTTATTTTCCCAGATACTAATCACATACACCCTGCAGGACAATTCAGATAGGAAAAACATGTACTAACATATAGGGCTGCTTTTGGATAGTCCTGGAACCACCTGAACCTTCCAAAGTCCCTGCAGAAAGTCAAAGAGGAGGTGACACTGCAGAGGTTTGCTTGTCTTGGGCATGTTGAGAACTCTTGAGAGTTTTCTGCTAGGAGTTTTGAGGAGAGTTTGTTATTCCCTGACCAACAGATTACAAAACCCTCTGATAAACCCTTACTGATAGCAAGGAAGATGAGGAGCTGTGTAGCCTTTTGTTCTTCAGACAGGGCAGTGTGAGTCAGGAGAGAAAATGAAATGCGGAAAGGGCTGAAGAAGTTACATAAGGAAAGACAGCCTTTAAATGCTGGACTGGAATCAAGAATATGACTGGCTCTAGTCTTCCAGGGATTCACTGCAGAGACATGGATACGCTTTAAAATAAAAAGTGAAATAAAAAAATAATAAAATAGTTACCTTCCTTTCCATTAGCATTGCTTTCAAGACCAGAAGCAACACCATTGACCCGCTAGTCTGGTCTCTAAATTAAGACTATAAATCCCACCATTCCTGAACAACATTCCTAATAATGTTTCACCAGAGAAAGGCTCTTTCATGTTCCTGCAGTTTGTGAATCTCAGCAAGCTTAACCAGCCCCTGTGTGGGACACTGACTCGCAGAACAAAGGGTAGCAAGGTCTATTCCTAATAAGAAGGCACTGCAGCACGAATCCCTGGGTGCTATAAATAGATATGCTCCCACAGGAGTCAGGACAATTCAAGAGGGCACATAATATTTATCTGCCCTGGAGGAAGCTGGTATTAGTAACCAGATTTTCCACAACCAGGCTTTCTCTGGGAAGAAGCAAGGTGGAGGACCTGCACATTTGGGGTCAACAAGATGCCGAATACATCCTCCAGAGCAGAAACTTCCTAAACTGCTGCCTGCTAAAGCTGGGTAGATATAGCCAGGCAAGGTTATATGCAGCCCTGATGCTTTCACATTTCCCTGAGGATGCGCTGCTGGCTACTGTCAGAAGCAGGATATTGGGTGAGACAGACCTTTTCTCCAACCCAGGGCAGCGGTTCCTGTGTTTTCATGTGAGTACAGTGAGAGCAGGACAGAGCTGCTCGTACCAGCCCCCAAAGAATAATCCAGTCAGTGCAGTAAACATGCATCTGGGGAGGCACCCTACCCTTCTTATTGTCGTTCAGGTTTGAAGACAGGGTGAAATAATGCTGGTTTTTGTCATGGTCAGTCTGGCTGGGCACACTAACTACAGCACAGGAGTGAGGGGAGCTGAACTGCAAGACCCAGGGGACTTTTGTAACCATCATATAACAGGAAAGCATTGTGAGAAATCAAAGCACTGCATGACTGTGACTATTGCTGCTCACGTTAAAAGAGCGACAACAAGCCTGAGAAACTGAGTGCTGTGCAGGATGCAGATATGACTCATTACAAGCAACCTGACAGCCTTTACACTCCAAAACACAACAGGGAGAAAAATAATGGCTGTATTATCACTCCCGCTGTCCAGAAGGGAAACCGAGGCACAAAAAAATCTACTGATTTCCCCCTCCTCACCTGGCAGGTTTATGGCAGAGCCAAGAGCCAAGTACAGTCCCCAAGTTGCACAGTCATGCCTTCTCCATACCTCCACCTTCTCCTTCCTGAGCAGGCAGATATAGCCATCTCCCTTACATAAAACCTTCCACTGCAACAGCCATTTCAAGATGGGGCTGCAGAGCTGTGAATGGTTCAACACTGAAGCTTTGCAAGTATAATTCTCCCAGGGAAGTCAAGTTCCCCTTATACATGTAGAGCAAAATTTCCTTCCCCTGCTTTTAGATAGTTTAATTCATGCCAGATTAAACGTGCAGTGGTAAATGACACTTCTAAGAACTCTACTTTGCAGTATGTGAGGATTTTTGTCTGGTGCAGGTGATTGGTGTCCAGGTGAAGGGGACAACCAATGTGCTACAAAAACACAGTAAGGGTTTTCATGGGAGACATGATACTTGAGATGTGACAGTCTCTGTGACGAACACTCCTTGCAAATTCATTCACAGCTGTTTGAGGGCTATTTAACTGCTTTGGACAGGTGGGATGGTGAGATTTAAATCTGTGGCTTTGAAGAGCATTAAAATGTCCCCAAGGAGATGAAGGTGTCCTGGAAAGGGTCTTCTCTTGCTCCGAAATCTGTGGGCTATATTGACTGCCTGTAAATTCTGAGCAGAACATGCCATTCCAGCTGCAGCAAAAAGGGTGTGAAAGCTAAAAGACCTGGTTGCAAGTGTTAAAATTGATGTGAATTTAACAGAATGAAGATTTAGTAGTGTAATAACTTCTGGGAAAAAGCCCCTGGTTTGGACATACAAGCAGCAGAAATGATGCTGGCTCCTTGAAAGTCACTGTTGCATGCCTAATTGCAGGAACGCAGCGTATCGGGACTAAGTGGGATGTGTAGCAGTCCAATAGGCTGGTGGGCTCTGGCACTGGCTGTATTTTTGTCACCCACAGCAAATCCACCACATCTCCATTCATTTTTGCTTTCGTCCTTAAAAGACCATCCAGAAGTGTTAGCATGGTTTCAATCAATACATCCTTCCCACTCTTCCGCCCTCCAGTTTAGCTGCTACTGCATCAATCAAAACCCTCTTTCACACTCCGCAGAGTTTTCTTCTGAACACTTGCTGAGGTTTCTACTGTCTCACCATATCTGGGTACAGCCCATATTTTCTCTTGGCTGCAAAGGAAGGAAGTTTGTCACTTTCTAACCCTACTTCTAATCCTGATGCTATAGCACATCCAGACTCCATGAGAGAAATCCAGTGAAGGAAATGACTTCATATCAGCATTGAGGAGATGTTTTGCAGGTGTTCATGGCTCTGGCAAAGAGTTTGGAGGACCCTATACTTATTCTACAGGAGAAATCTTTACACAAAAATAAATTTCAATTTGCCTTAAAATTGCTTTCATACTACAATTTTGAGGTTTATTAAGGACACAAAATAATTTGTAGGTCTCCCATAATAGTTGTGGTGCCAGTTAGAACAATAACAAAATCAGAGGGATTGTGAGATGCAGTTTGAAACAGAACACAAGAACATCTTAAAGGGAATTTAAACCCATCAGCAGAAAACTAGTGCTGCTGCTGTTTGACACAGCACTCTATTCAGAATTACAGAATCAGAGTGATAAAATCACCTCCTTCCTACTCAACCACAGTGCAGCTTTTACAGTTCCACAGACAAAAAAAATATCAGCAACTAATAAATTACAGGTTAAATGAAATCTGTCTCAATGAGGACAGAACGCTTGGGGAAGTTTCAAGCATGAAACCCTGGAAATTAAGGTGACTGCATCTAGAAGACAAGACACTTAATTGAGGGAAGGCAGGTGCAGACATTACTCTCAGCAGCAGTTCTCTCCTAATGGTTATCTGAGAAGGTGTCTTTGTTTTGTAAGCTCCTGAGAGCCTCTACCATTTGGCAACTCTTCCTCTTTTCACATAATTTCCCATTTTGTTCAGGGGACAATGAGGGACGAACATGGATCTGTCCTCCTGCAGGCAGGAACCAGAGGACAAAAGCAATTATGTGGCTGTGATCACCAGGGGGCTGTTGCAGCAGCTCCCAGATGTCCCCTAGTTTGTAAATGGTCTGAGGAGGTGTGAACCATCCTTTGGCATGTTTGCTCTCTTTCCTACCTGGGCTTGTCTCACCCGTGTTGACCACATTACTGGCCATTCCACAGCTTTCCTGTGAGCACATCTGGCTGCCCTCAAGCAGAGGAGCAGGTCTCCATGGAGCTGAGCACACAGGGAAGTGTGGGAACATCCTTCATAGCCCCCTCCTTCCCACCAGTTCAGCCAGGGGCTGGCTCGTTGAACCCAGACCACAACTGTCATGTTTTGGCTTGGTCCCTCTGACTCTGGAAACTGTCAGGAGAGACTCCTTGGGCTCTGCAGAGTCTCATTGATTCTATGTGGAGTCAGTTCCCCTCCTAGCCCTGGACAAATGCAGGTGGGAAGATACGCGCTTGTGGTTAGGCAGATTTAATGTGTTTCTTTTTTCCCAAGGAATTGTCTTTTGTAAGGCAAATTTTTTTTCCACAGTATAGCTCCAATTAAGCAGATCACTGAAATATGTGCATAACTGTAGAAGTCCATTGATATTAAGCAAAACATTTAATCATGAGCTTAAGTACTTTGTCAATTCAGGGCTGAGTATGCATTCACCCTAATTTCAAGGTAGCAAGTCGGATATCCATTTCCCTTTCATTGGCCTTAAGGCTTTTTCTTTGACTGTTACTCCTGATAGACCTCAGGGTAAGAAGAACTAATGGTGGGGGTGAGGTGGTGGAAATAGTAGTAATTGCATCTACATTACTGGGAAAGAGCTAAAACCTGACATGAATAAAGAAGCTGTTACAGAGGTGGTAATGCCTCTGTGGTCTGCTTCCTCCCTCACCTGTTAGTTAGGTCCATGTGCACTTTGTGCACAGAGAAAGGTCATACAGTGTGAAAAGCCTCTAACGAAGGGAAGCTGCATCTTCTTTTGCTGACTTTTTTTTTTTTTTTTACCACGGGATTTGCTATTATAAGGCTGTGCACTACATTTCTACAGCAAGAATGCTTTGAACAGCATGAGGAGTGGGGTTAAGCCCCATCTGCCCAGGAAAGTCATGCTAAGAGCATTACAGGGTAAGATCAAATTCTTGACTGACATAACTACACCCTCTGCAATGCTGGAGGTACAGGGGGTATGAAGCCAGGGAAGAGCTTTGCCCCTCCTCGCCTGACTTGGGAAAGGAGATCTCAGGCAGTCTCGCATTCAGTGGTGGCAGTGGAGCAGATGTCGCAGTCACAGCGGATGGCCACCGGGTAGATGTAGAATGGATCCACACCAGGGGCACACTTGGGCAGCTTCACTGTCATCATCTTGGTCTCATTGTAGGTGCAGACACGGTGGTAAGATTCAATGTAAGGTGGTTCCAGCACTGGTTTCTGTGGGGGAGAAGTGCTGGCCTCAGGCAAGAAGCAAGACAAACATCTGGGGTTCCAGTTTCCTCAAAGGGATTTTGTGTAAATGGGGGAGCCACTGGATCAGGTGGAAGGGACCATGGAAATAACTTTTAGTTACGTCCTTCAAGACTTGCCTTTTGGAGGCCTGCCATGGAGGAGAGTGGGTGTATGTGCATGTTTCTCTTTGTTTAAAGCATAAAGCTCCAATTAAAGCCGCTTGAAGGAAGAAAAAAGCCTGCCCAAAAAGCTGGCTTTCAGCAGAATATTAGTGTTTCAACCAAACGCTCATGTTTGCCAAAAGCAGCTGCTTTTTTCCAGGAGGATTGATTGTCCATCAAAGAAATGTGTTTTGCTGGAAACCCTTTTCCCTGTGCACAAGCTGCCCAAGAGCAGAGGTGCATCCAGGTGCCAAATGGCTGGTTTTTTCTCAGCCAGACTAGTCTTCCCAGTCAGGCTGTGCATCCTACAAAGCATGATGGAGGCACACCACAGGGGATGAACTTGGCACAGCCAGCCTAGTAGTCTGCAGTTCCTCATGAGAAAACCAGTTTGGCCAGAGCCCTTGAAGGAACCTTATCCCACCAGGGAAATCTGCCCACTGGTGGCTTTCTCCTCATCACACCAAGCAGTGAAAGACAACTATAGCTAGCACACAGACCTGGCTCCTCCTGTGGTCACTTACAAGGTCCTTGTCTTCATGTGGATGAAATTCATCTGGAGTCACTCAAGACTTTCCTGAATAAATTAAACTGGGACTAGCCCTTTGAGCCTTCCAGTGGCAGAAAGGCAAAGACAGTTAGAAATTTGTTCTCTGAAAGTGTATGTAGAGGTACTCATGCTTTTTCTTCCACCTCCTGTATTCCCCCAAAACATAACCACTTCATATTTATACAGGGCTGTGACTTAAAACGGGACCAAATTAGAAACAGACATTATCTTTGGGATTTGCTTTTTGGAACAAGATCTATTACCCATGAACTGGGAGCTCCATCTAATCTCAAAGGAATTTCTTCCAGTAAGGTAACAAAGGCCTCCTCTCCTTAAGTGTTCAAGCTATAAAAGGTTTTCAAATTGCATAATGATAGTATTACGTAAGCGCTTCATTAATATCATCACATCCCCCTTTGAGGCAGTAGAAGGAGGGAGGGAACAACTGACAGCAAACTCTGCTGGCAGTGGCAGTGAGATGGTTGTGGAGCAGGACACAGCCCTTGCCTGTTCAGTAGATAGCTGGAAGCTATTTAAAGCTGGGTAGGTTTCTTTCAAGGGCTTTTCTTAGGCGGGAAGCACCTGTACTGTATTCCACCTATGGAGAATCACTACCCAGGGATGCTGATGCCAGCAAGCCACCCTCAGCGCCATGCACAGCCTCACCTCCCAGGTCTCGCAGCGTCCCCAGCACGCATCCGTTGTCACCCGCAGCCCCCTGCAGCCGGGTTTCTTGGCCAGGAAAGTGAACTCACGCACAGCACAGCCAATGAAGGTCCGCAGGTCGATGGCAGAGGTCTTGAGCATGCCACTGCAGCCAGCCAGCAGCAGAAGAAGCAGAGCGCCCAGGGTCGCGTGGTGGAGCTTCATACTGAGGCAGAAGGAAGAGAAGCAGAGGGGTGGGAGAGCTAGCACAGTCCAAGTACAAATGCAGAGGGTCAGCTCAAGCTGGGACAGCCCTTCCTCCCCTCAGGCACACTGTTGCCCATCTTCATTCAGCCCAAGAGAAGGGCAGATATAAGAGCTAGGGGTCACCTGCCAATTAACCCAGAAGTGGGAAGTCTTACTGAAAGGGTTTGTAACAGAACACAGCAGCGTGCAGACTTTGCCTGCAGAGCAGAGGTTTGCCTGGAAGAGACAAAGCCACCAGCCAGTGCCTCAGACCCACAGAAATCCCTATACTGTAAGTTTACGTTGCAGCATATGCTTTCCTAGCGTACCACATGGGTTGCCCTGAGCTTGCACTAGGCCAATAAGCAGCCTTTGGCTGCTCTCTCAGTGCACACACATGTTGTTGGCTGAAGTCCCTGGCAGTACTGGCCCTGGCAGGGTCAGTCTGGAAGGGCTCTGTCTGTCTGTCAGGCACACCTATGGGAGGTGGCAGGTTCCCTGCTTTGCTGCACAGGGGTAAAGCAGCACAGCTGCAGCACCATGCCTTCAGCAGGGCTAGGTCTGCATGTAACACCAGCATTTTGACCCAGGCACTTAATTCTGGATTTATCCCACTCACCTTTTAGCCTAAGTTAGGAGTCAAGCACCCCCGAATCTGTGCTATAACCTCAGCACCTCCCAAAAGTGTTATTGGAGTTGCCATTACCAATACCCTGAGCACAGGACTGCTGCTGGTCCGCTCCCAGGGCTGCAACCAGAGAGGCTGGATGTCCTTCCTGCACACATTGCCCTACCAGCCGGCTCAGACCCAACCAAGGCTGCTAAACTGGTGAACAGAGCTGCTTAGACAAGGGAGCACACAGCCAACATGACCAAGGCTTGAACTCCTCATACTGTCTGAGCAGCCCAGCATCAGCCAAGTCCATCTGACACTGCCTTTCAGTCTCAGTGAAGAACGAAACCAGCTCCTCTGGAAAACTTCCTCTGTTGAAAAAAAAAAAGGGAGCTGGAAAGTATCTCTAAGCCCCGAGATCCATTTTACACTTCGGATGCTTGACTGCATTTAAAAATGTCCACCTATGATCCCAGACCCGACATTCAATTTTGAGAAAGTCAGCTACTGCACGAGCCACACAGACTTGTGTACATTGGCCTGTATCCTCAGCTGGATAGACTTAAGTTAAATGAGCTTGGCCTGCCTTTCACCTGACTGATGTTTGAGTCTCTAGGCTTCTGTTAAACCAAATCCTTTAAATTTGCTAAAGAGTTTTAGATCAGCACATGAATTTTGCTTCGTATATGTCGCCATGCATACATTATAGTCTTACACATGATTAAAACAGAGTATGTTTATACTTAAGCTTCAACAGGGTAAAAAAAGGTGAATATTCCTGATTTTTAAAAGCAGACATGCGAGACCAAAAGAGGCAAACTTCAGAACAAATTGAACATTTACTCTTTGCCACTTCAGCAAAACCTGCTCCTTTATTCACGAGCCAGAGCCATGACATGGAGCAAACACAGAAGCACACTCACCTAACTTGTTGGAGTCAGATCTCCTTTTGCAGCTTCAAATTGCAGATGGTGTTTCAGGAAGCAGAGTGAGCAGCAGGAGACCTACACAGCAATCTTAGTCAGCTTTGTGCTCAGTAGGTCTCCTCAGCAGCTGCTACTGGCTTGCTTAAAATTGCTCAAATTTATAGAAAGGGTCTTGTCAATCAAGGCAAGACAGAGGCAGATCCTTACTTGAACTACTCAAGGCATCAAAGCCGTTGACTGTAAAACAAGCCTCTCCTTTACAACAGCAATTAGCTTAAAGGGTATTGTTTCATAACATCAGCCCTGAAACAAAAGGAGTATCTCAGTGAGCAAAATAATGAGCAAGTGCTGGGGCAAAATGGATCTTCTTTTCCATAGTGGAAATGCAACGCCTTTACAAGGAGATTGGAAGCTGGCTCTGAAATCATCATTACCCCCTAATGAACACACCCTGAGCAGACACCCTGAAGGAAAACTTTTCAAATGTTTTGTGAACAAATACTTGATTTTTGGTCAAGTGCATAAGACCTTGTTTCACTTGATTGCTCTGTACAAGCAAAGGCAAGGGATGGGGAGAGGAGGTGCGAGTTTTCAAGAAAAGCAGATGTTCCCCTGAGGACTCAGGCAGCTGTCACGCAGATAAGCACCACTGTGCAAACACAGTTTGGAAACTGTGTCCATTGACTTTGCCATGCAAACGCTATTTTCAGCTATTCATAGAACAGAGAGAAGCTGAGGAACCTTGGTGCTATGAAAAACTTGCTCATCAGAGACTTAATGAAAGACAAGAAGGTGAGAGAAGTATAGCCATAAGCTCACCTCCCTTCCCTGCCACCAGCTGATGGCTGGAGACTGACTGACTTGCCAGTGCTGACTGCTTCAATACCCAGGCACATCCAGAAAAGGCAGGGCAAGCATCAGTGTGATTACAGACACCTTGGGGTGATGCTGTTAAAGGCAGGCACAGCATAAAACAGTGATTACTGCAAATCTGTTAATTTACCTTTCAAGTTCCAAATATATACTTCTGGTGGGTTGTATTCAGGCCTTCTGTAGCACGAGCTATGGAAACCAGAAAATAGACATTGAGGAAATGTGATATTGAAGCATTCAGGAAGAAACAAGGTACATTACAGAGGTGCTCTCCCTTTTTCAGGGTGAGTAACCCATGGCTTGAGGTCCTTGTTTCACTCATGCTAACACATCCTGGGAACCCACAGAGCACTTGCTATACTTACTATCCAGCTTGGAGCAGCCACTGCTCAGCACTTTTCCTGGCTACTGTGTGGCCCTGCTATTTCCCGGGTCAGTAAATTACACTAGTCACATGCACACAAGGCTGGTCATTCACCATCAAAATTTTCCCTTTGTGTCGTTTTTAGGAAGAGGGAAGCAATTGTCTACAGCCAAGCAAGTCTCACAGTAACATCTCAGGACACTCTGTATAACCAAGAGCCGCTGTACTCTCTGTAGGCATGGCACTGCAGCAGACCTCCGCCTCAGCTTACAGCATATACTGGGGTGTACACCAACAGAACTGAATCAGACCGTCATCCTAAATTTTCTCCTTCTTTCACTGTTTCCCTCCCCACAGTTACACCTTTTAACTACCTGCTCCTGGTGCAGCAGCACAGGAGGTCCCTGCCAGGCCTCAGGATTTATCAGCCATACAAAGACTCTGACCTAGAGCCTGCAGTGAGAGGGCTAAGCCTTGCTCATTAAGATAGGGAGGCACCCAAGTGCAGGGCATTCTCCAGCCATGACTCTTCAGTGGTTGACATGAGTCCCTCCATCCAGCCTCAGCCCCCAGGCCTTCACAAACACCTCCTGAAACATGGAAAAGCAGTAAGCATTAAGTTCTATTGCCATATTGCCATCATGACATGGGAAACAACTGCTTCAGAAAACTAATTCACTTAACAGAACACCAAACAACAACAATAACAAGAACTGCAAGAGAAAGGGAAGAACAAAGAAAAAAGGAACAGAGTTTTTACTAAATATTTGAGAACTGTCCTAAGTTAGGAGGGAGAGGGTGGTTAAGATCTCTCCCAGTATTCTCACTCATTATTATCCACAGTTTTGCTAGCAGCAAAGGACTTCATCTTCAAGTGAAGACCTATCAGGTGGGACATTGGAGAAGGGAAAAGGAAGAGATTCAAAGCCAAATCGGATCACAGGGACATCAAGAGGAACAGCCAAAGTCTTGCCACTGATCTAAAAATATCAGCAGCTTTCCACAAAAAACCCTAAAACCTTTTTGCTGTAATTTTTGCTGACCAAAACTAAAACTAGAAAAGAAACCTTTAAAGGCTTTTTAAAAATGTACATCTTTAAAGTTCCTGACTTGCAGTGAAAATATTGGTAAAAGTGAAAATATTTCCCATAGATTTCCTTTATTTGACTCTGGAAATGTGCCAGCAAAAATCAGCCCAGGATTAGACACAAATACAGGAAATAGATGCCAGATGGCAGATCAACCAGCTTTGACAGATCCCACTTCTTCTATGGATTAGAAAACCAGGTGTTGGACTTTCAGTTTGTATAATTCAGTTTGGATTCAATGGCTTCAGCTAACCAAGATTCTGTTCTGTTGTCTCCATTTGTACTGAATAACCTCATAAAGTAAAATGAAAGACAAATTGCACTCTCACTTACTTTGGCTTTTGAAAATCCCATCTATTCATGAGACAGACAGCAATTTCTGAAGGATTTGTATCACATCTCACGAAAAGCATGAGTGTTGGCTTTTTCCCAGGCAGAGTTTTGTCAGCTTATTGTTTGTGGAGTTTTGTGTGGGTTTTGTTTGGGGTTTTTTTCATTGAAGTTAATTAATAAATCTACCACCTACACATACACCTGGCCTTCAGTGTATGTCAGAAATTTAAAAGCTGCACATTTTCTTTCCCTGGATCTTTTGAATTTATCTGAAATAAAAGGTGACATGTAAATAAAACTTCCAAAGATGACTATGTCCACCATTTACCTGCCTGTTCCCTTTGTGAGACACACAGGCAGAGACAGGAATAGATTGATCACGAAAGTACATCTCATGAGGATTGTGTATCCACTCACCCATTCGGGCTTTTTGGCTTTTCCTCTGAATTCTGGACAGGCAGAACACAGACACCAAGTGTGGTGTTCAAGGTGTCAGGGTTATGAGAACTGGTAACTTATGGCCTTATCTGCTCCTGAAATAAATCTCATAGGCTTTGCACTCAAGCTGCCACAGCAGCCTGCCGCAGCCCTCCACCATGTGTAACATCAGTAGGTATAATATACCTGTGGGCTTAATCCAGCTAATTCCCAGCAAATCCTGAGAGGGCTTTGGGCTTCTTGGCAAACCCTGAGAGTGCACCTTGGGCTCCCAGTGACTCCAGTTTCTCTTGGCAGGACAGCACCATTCCCAGGTGCATTCCTGGGAAGTTTGGCCAGCAGGG